ATATACAGATATACACACATAATATATATAGATATAGATATAAATACAGATATACACACATAATATATATAGATATAGATATAAATACAGATATACACACATAATATATATAGATATAGATATAAATACAGATATACACACATAATATATATAGATATAGATATAAATACAGATATACACACATAATATATATAGATATAGATATAAATACAGATATACACACATAATATATATAGATATAGATATAAATACAGATATACACACATAATATATATAGATATAGATATAAATACAGATATACACACATAATATATATAGATATAGATATAAATACAGATATACACACATAATATATATAGATATAGATATAAATACAGATATACACACATAATATATATAGATATACATATAAATACAGATATACACACATAATATATATAGATATAGATATAAATACAGATATACACACATAATATATATAGATATAGATATAAATACAGATATACACACATAATATAGATATATATAGATATACATACATATACAGATATACACACATAATATATATAGATATAGATATAAATACAGATATACACATACACAAATATACACAAACACATAAATATACATACATACGTATAATATATATCATACACACACACACACACACATACAGTATACACATGTATGCATTCATAAAAAAAAACACACACATCCAGTTTTCCATTTTATTGACGGCCAGACGAAAGGGAGGAGGCGTGAAAAAAAAACAAGAAAAAAGAAAAAAAAAACACGGTGCCTTTGTCGAAGTAACATCCGGTGAAGCCTTATTTTATCTCCCTATCCTTTCGTATCTCTATCACGACCATAATTACTATCATTATCGTCTGCACTATCGCAACTTCCATTATTATCACCCAAAAGTTCCGAACCAGTTTCAACCGCTATCGTGCAAAATGCAATGCAGCCAATGTACGCCGGAGAGAGAGATTTATTTTTGCAACGTAAATATATAGGGAGGAGAGGGAGGGAGAGGGAGAGGGAGAGGGAGAGGGAGAGGGAGGGAGAGAAGGAGAGAGGGAGAGGGGGAGAGGAAGAGAGGGAGAGAGGAAGAGAGGGAGAGAGAATAATAATGATATAAATAATAATAGATAACACTTATAACAATTAGAACAATAATCATTAAGTAGTAACAATATTAAACGCAGTTCAAATTATTAGTAATAATAATAATAATAATATTAAGAAGAAGCAAAAGAAGAAGAAAAAGAAAAGTAGGAGGGCCGGATGTAGAGAGAAAGAAAAAGACAAAAAATAAATGTAAAGCACACAGGGATCAAGAAAAGAATGACGGACGTAGAAAAATGAAAGAGAAAGAGAAAGAGAAAAATATAATAAAATAAAACAAAAACAGAAAGACAAGAACACAGTGAGAAGAGAAAGAGAAAAATGGAATAAAATAAAACAAACAAAAAACAGAAATAAAAACAAGAACACAGTGAGAAAGAACAAAGAAACAAAAAGAATGGACCCGCCTGGCGCCTTGTTTGCTCAGTATCCTCTTAAATCTGCTTCAGGAAAACAAAGATAAGAAAAGAAAAGAAATGAAAAGAAAGAAAAAGGAAAAAAGAAAAAAAAAAAAACACTCACCTCCCCGAAGAAAAGAGAGAAAGAAAGAAAGAAAAAAAGAAAATAGAAAAAGAAAGTCACGCTACCCCTTACCCCCTCCCCCCCTTATGGATACCCCCCCTACCCAACCCCCAACCGACAAAGCTTAAAAAAACAAAACAAAAAAACAAACACAAACGCGCAAACTTACCTCCATATTTGCCGCAGCTCACGTCCGCCCACAGACCCCCCCCCCCTCACACGCCCACAGCCTTACGCCCACGCCCTTAGGATCTCTCGCCGTCGCCGCCACCCGCTGGTAGAGACGTGGGCTGGGCGGTGTTTGAACAGGTGGGCGCCCTCGCAGGTGTGACGCCGAGGGTGATGGGCAGGGGCGGGCGGCGTGTGTGGGTAGTGGGGGGGGGGAGGAGGAGGAGGAGGAGAAGGAGGAAGGGGGGAAGGGGAGGAGGAGGAGGAAGGGGGAAAGGGGGGGAAGAGGAAGGGGGAAGGGGGAGAGGAGGAGGAGGAAGGGGGAAGGGGGGAGGAGGATAAGGAGGGGAGAGGAGGGGGGTAGGGGATGGGGGAAGGGGAGGGGAGAGGAATGAATGAACTAGCAAACTAGCTGTTTATTTCTTTTTCCTTTTCCTTTCGTTGGCCGTTAGGTTAGGAATCGCTAGTTTGAAAACGAGCCAGTTAACGACTTTTTTCAGGAGGAATTTTGAATTCACCTGATCCGTTATCAAAGTTCTATTCATAATTAATATACTTCTAGTTCATTTCTAAATTAAAAGGGATTTAAGTGGGCGTGGAATAAAGTCTTCCTCTCTCTCTCTCTCTCTCTCTCTCTCTCTTTCTCTTCTTCTTCTTCTCCTTCTTCCTTTTCATCATCAATCTGCAATACAGAAAAGAAAGAGAAAATGAGAAAATCATATTATAAAACCGAAAGAAAAAATCCAATTATAATAAAAATCATGTTATAAAACCGAAAAAAAAAATCCAATTAAAATAAAAATCATATTATAAAACCGAAAAAAAATCCAATTAAAATGAAAAATCACATTACAAAACCGAAAACAAATCCAATTAAAATAAAAATCATATCATAAAACCGAAAACAAAAAATCCAATTAAAATATAAAAAATCATATTAATAAACCTTCCCTTTTGATATTTCTCAGAAGCTCTTGACTAATGATCATTAATGAACTAAACGTTTAATTCGAATCATCAATGAATCGTATATAATGTCACACAATGGATAAATCGTTTTAATTCAAATAAATAATGACTCATAGGTAATTCTCAACAATGGGTAAATGAGATAATTCAGTTAATAGTTAATAGTCAATAATGGGTAAGCACTGGTCTAATATTTTATCCATTCGCACAGAAACAGACAGACAATGAAACACGATAAATAAGAGGAATTTAAATACTAGTCAATAGCTTTGATTGATCTCAGTGGTAGAAGCAAGCGTGGATAAAGAAGGGAATGGGAAAGGGGAGAGGAGAAGAGGACGGAGATGGGGAGAAGGAAGAGGGAAGAGGAGAGGGAAATGGAAAGAGGGGGAAGGGGAGAGGGAAAGGGAAGGGGAAGGGGAGAGGAGAAGAGGACGGAGATGGGGAAAGAGAGGGGGAAGAGGAGAGGGAAAGGAAAGAGGAAAGGGAAGGGGAGAGGTGAAGAGGACGGAGATGGGGAAAAGGAAGGGGAAGAGGAGAGGGAAGGGGAAGAGGAGAGAAGAGGACGGAGATGGGGAAAGGGAAGGGGAAGGGGAGAGGGAAAAGGAAGGGGAGGGGGGTGGAGGAGAAGAGGAAGGGGATAGAGGGAGATGAAAAAAGGAAAGGAAGAAAGGAGAGGGGAAAAGGAAGGGAGAGGGGAAGACTGAAGGGGATACTAATGGAAAAAGAAAGAGAAGTGAAAGGGATAGGTTAATAGAATGGAGAGAGAGAGAGAGAGACAGAGAGAAAGAAAGAGAGAGAGAGAGAGAGAGAGAGAGAGAGAGAGAGAGAGAGAGAGAGAGAGAGAGAGAGAGAGAGAGAGAGAGAGAGAGAGAGCGAGAAACACACACAGGAAAGGAGACAGATAAAGAGAGAGAGAGAGAGAGAGAGAGAGAGAGAGAGAAAGATAGATAGATAGATAGAGAGAGAGAGAGAGAGAGAGAGAGACAGCTAGACGGAGAAGGCGAGGACAACCAGAGAGATGCGAGAGATGATGATGTACAGTAATAAAAAAATCAGACATACAGTCGCCGCAGACGACAAAGAACTCCAACCATAAGAACAGACAATGACATCCTGAGCACAAATCGCAGGTACACAAAATAGCAGCCTCTTGCCCCGCTGCCTCACCCAAGGGCGCTTTCTGTCTGTCTGTGTGTCTGTCCATTCTCCCTTCTCTCTTCCTCCCGTCTGCGTCTGCGTCTCTCTGTTTCTGTCTGTCTGTCTGTCTGTCTGTCTGTCTGTCTCTCTAACTCTCTCTCTCTCTCTGTCTGTCTGTCTCTGTCTCTTACTCTCTCTGTCTCTGTCTCTCTCTCTCTCTCTCTCTCTCTCTCTCTCTCTCTCTCTCTCTCTCGCTCTCTCTCTCTCTCTCTCTCTCTCTCTCTCTCCTCTCTCCTCCCCACCCCACCCTCTCCCTCTCTCCTCCCCACCCTCCCTCCCTCCCTCTCCCTCTTCCCCATCCCCCACCCCACCCTCCCCCACCACACCCTCCCTCTCCCTCTTCCCCATCCCCCACCCCACCCTCCCCCACCACACCCTCCCTCTCCCTCTCTCTCTCTCTCATCTCTCTCTCTCTCTCTCTCTCTCTCTCTCTCTTCTCTCTCTCTCTCTCTCTCTCTCTCTCTCTCTCTCTCTCTCTCTCTCTCTTCTCCTCTCTCTCTCTCTCTCTCTCTCTCTCTCTCTTCTCTCTCTCTCTCTCTCTCGCTCTCTCTCTCTCATCTCTCTTCTCTTCTTCTCTCTCTCTCTCCCTCTCTCCTCCCCACCCCACCCTCCCCCACCACACCCTCCCTCTCCCTCTTCCCCATCCCCCACCCCACCCTCCCCCACCACACCCTCCCTCTCCCTCTTCCCCATCCCCCACCCCACCCTCCCCCACCACACCCTCCCTCTCCCTCTTCCCCCTCCCCCACCCCACCCTCCCCCACCACACCCTCCCTCTCCCTCTCTCCTCCCCACCCTCCCTTTCCTTCCCTCTCTCCACCCCACCCTCCATTTCCCTTTCCCTCTCCCTCTTCCCCATCCCCCACCCCCCTCTCCCTCTTCCCCATCCCCCACCCCACCCTCTCCCTCTCTCTCCTCCCCACCCTCCCTCCCTCCCTCTCTCTCTCTCTCCTTCCCACCCTCCTTCCAAAAATGCCACGTTCCCAAGACCCCGAGAGTGCGCCGAGGGGGGGGGGAGGGGGGGGGAAGGCAAGAACCGGGTGTGCGTTACCAGCCTGCATCGCGCGCACCGGGAGAGTCCGGAGACGCTGCAGGAACCGAGCTCGAAAATGTAAACAAAAGAGAACAAGAGGAGCATCGCCTTGCGCATCGCCCTGGTGGGAACTTTCGTCGAGGTGCCCGGTTCTTTTGTTTTTTTTATTTATTTTATTTTATTTATTTATTTTTCTTCTTTGTAGGGTATGTTTTTTTTTGGAGCAGGAAAAAAGAAATGAAAAGAGGGGAGAAGGGTTGGGGAATTGCGTAGATGGGACAGAGAGGGAGAGAATAAGAGAGAGAAAGAGTGAGAGAGAGAGCGAGTGAGAGTGAGAGAGAGAGAGAGAGAGAGAGAGAGAGAGAGAGAGAGAGAGAGAGAGAGAGAGAGAGAGAGAGAGAGAGAGAGAGAGAGAGGGAGGGACAGACAGAGACAGAAAGACAGAGAGACAGAGACAGAAACAGTAAGAGAAAGAAACAGATAAACAGAGACAGAGATAGACAGAGAGAGATATAAGAAAGAGAGAGAGTGAGGAGGGAGGGGAGGGGGGGCAGGGAGGCTGAAGGAGGGGGGGGGGGTAAGAGGGGTGAGGAAACCATTACACACACTCCCAGAGACAGGGACTTTTGGTGCATGCGACACAACACACATATCATTCCCCCCCCACCCCCACCCCCTTTTCTTTCCCTTCCCATTCTGTCCTTCGCCACTTTTCTTGAAGGAAGGCCGGATAAGATAAGAGCGAAGAGAAGGCCAAGGAGATAGACGAGACGCAAGCAAGATGGCGAGAGAGACAGAGAGAGACGAGAGAGGAAGATAAAATTTTGGATTACGATGAAGAGGAGAAGGTATGGGATAAGAGGAAATGGAGAGATAAGAGGGGAAGAGAAGGAGAGAGAGAGAGAGAGAGAGAGAGAAGGAGAGAGAGAGAGAGAGAGAGAGAGAGAGAGAGAGAGAGAGAGAGAGAGAGAGAGAGAGAGAGAGAGAGAGAGAGAGATCATATAAAGAAAAAGGGAATATAAAGAGAAATAGAGAGCAAGGGAAAGAGAGACAGACAGATCATATAAAGAGAAAGAGGGAATATAAAGAGAATAGAGAGCAAAAGAGAGAGAGACAGAGAGTACGAAAGAATAAAAAAAAAAAAAAAAAAAAAAAAAAAACACACAGACTTCCGACACCGAGAGCGCTCGAGAGAGAAAAACAGAAGACAAAAGAAAATAAACAGAAGCAAATACAAAAAAAAGTAAAAAAAAGAGAGACGAAAAAGAGAGAGAAAATAAGTCTGAGACAAAAGAGATATAACCCAGACATAACTCGCAAGAAGAGGCAAGTCACGCACGCAAGCATACCCATGCGAGGCGGTGCGTCCAGGCGTGCGTGACTGCGCATGCTCGCGTAACGTCCACGAGAGAACACCAAATTGTCGAGAACAGACGGAGAGAGAGAGAGAGAGAGAGAGAGAGAGAGAGAGAGAGAGAGAGAGAGAGAGAGAGATAGAGAGAGAGAAAGAAAGAAAGAAAGAAAGAAAGAGAGAGAGAGAGAGAGACAGAGAGAAAGAGAAAGAGAGAGAGAGAGAGAGAGAGAGAGAGAGAGTGTGAAGAGCAGAAAAAAGGGAACAAAAAAGAAATAAGAAAAAGAGAGAAGAGAAAAAAAGGTGGTGGGGGGGGGGGGGGAGGATCTTGGGTTCGAATCTAATCTCAAAAAGAAAGAAGAAAAAGGATTTTTTTTTTTTGACTTTGCCTCGAACGAAGAAGAAAATGAAGAAAAAAAGATGTGACCGAAGAGAGAAATGAGAAAAGAGAAAGAATAAAAGGAAATTTAAGAAAAAAGATTCAAGCGAGAATACGAAATTACCGAAGCCAGACGAAGAAGAAAAGAGAGAGAGAGAGAGAGAGAGAGAGAGAGAGAGAGAGAGAGAGAGAGAGAGAGAGAGAGAGAGAGAGAGAGAGAGAGAGAGAGAGAGAGAAGGAGTGAGAGAGAGAGAGAGAGAGAGAGAGAGAGAGAGAGAGAGAGAGAGAGAGAGAGAGAGAGAGAGAGAGAGAGAGAGAGAGAGAGAGAGAGAGAGAAATCTAATCAGGAGAGAAAGAAAAAAGGAACATAATGTAAAGAAAAAGATAAAAGACGGGGCACAAAAAAAAGAAAAGAAGAAAGAGAAACGGAAAATAAATCTAATCTAACCTAAAACAGAGAAATGAAAAAAAGGAAAAAGAAAAAAAAAAGAGAGAGAGACAAGAGAGACGTAAATAAATGAGTGAATAAATATGGAAAGACCAAATGACGGAAAACAGAACGAAAGATGAAAAAAAAAGAAAAAAAAAGAAGAAAGAGAAACATGAAAAAAAACGATAGAAAAAAAAATACATGAAAACACGAAATTTCCGAGAACAGAAGAGTAGAGGAAAAAAAAAAGTTAAAAGAATTCTAAAATGAACGGAAATAATGATTTCAAAGAAGAGACAATGACGAGTTTGAAAAGAGAG